ATAGAGCCTTCACAATACTACAAATCTCCTGAGGTCCGTCTCTTTCAGCGTTTCCGCTCTCCCCCAGTATTCCATTATTGTGACTGACGGCGTTCCAGCAATATCCCCCGACCACCAGGAATGATACTGCACAATTTAAATATGAGAGGCTGTCTCGCTTTCTATATGAATTACTCCCGTCGCGTGCAGATATTGAAAGCATCTGCAAAGCCAGTTGCCACTCTTCCATTCTCTCCCATGAATTATTAACAACTCCATACACCACCCTCTATCAGAACGGCCTCCAAACGCCCGAGATTTTATTGATGACCCCGCAACCAAATATGCATCCTATTTTAATCGCAAGACACATGCTCCAGCTCGCCATTTTTCTACAGCATCTTCCCCCAGATCTTCACAAGGAGATTGAAGGCCTGTCGGAACCACCTCGCGTCATCATGGAACGCTTAGCAGACCTTGCCATTTACCACGTCACGACGAACGAGGCGTTAATCGGCAGCATCGAGAGCCTCGAGTGCATTATGCTCGAGAGCTTATACCAGGTGAACATTGGGAGCCTTCGACGAAGCTGGGTCGCGGGTCGCAGAGCAATGAGTCTCGCCCAGTTAATGGGCTTTCACCGACCAGATAACCAGACACTATACAAGGTGCTCGACCCCCAAACGAAATACGACTCACGGATAATGTGGCTACGCATCATGACCCTTGACCGCCAGCTTTGCCTCTTGCTCGGTCTTCCCGAAGGCTGCATCGACCATAGTATGGCTTCGGAGACCCACATCGCTAACGATTGCCCTGATGGGCCGTCTCGAGCAGCTGCACTGTGTTGCCATGTCCCGAATCCTCAACCGGAACGCGTCCAAGCCGAGCGGCCAAGACCATACGGCCACCCGCGCCATCGACCTAGACTTACAGAAAGCCGCGAATAGCCTCCCGAGCAAGTGGTGGCTGGCCCCCAAACTCGACAATGCCTCCAACGACCTGCAAGCCGTGTTCTGGGATACGCGCCGTCTCGTCCTGCAGATCTGTCACTACAACCTTCTCAACCAGCTGCATCTACCGTATATGCTGCGCCCCTCATCCGCAGAGAAAAAATACGAGTATTCGCGGATCACATGCGTTAACGCATCGCGGGAGGTTCTTTCGCGCTACAACTCGCTCCGCAGCTTCAATCGCATCGCTTACAGCTGTCGCACGGTCGACTTCCTCGCCCTCATGGCGGCTATGGCCCTCCTACTCGCACACATGGATAGCCATAGCGACGGGGCGGAAAATCTGCTCGCGAATCAGTATCTAGGCGATCGCGGGATGATCGAACAAGTGCAGGAACACATGGCCGAAATCAACCGGCTGAATTCGGACGAACTGAGTGCACAAAGTGCAGATTTGCTAAAGTCATTATTGGCGATTGACCTGGAGAAAGGGCATGGGCGGGTGAGTGTGCGGGAGGCGGGCAGTGACGGCATGTTACCGCATGATGGGGTGGTCTCGGAGGAGGAGAGCGTGGTTCGGGTGCATATACCGTATTTCGGAGTTATCAGGATTGCACGCGAGAAACAGCACGCGGCGACGTTGGGAACAAGCAGCAGCAGTAGCAACTCCGAAGCCCAACTTCGCCTCTCCTGCTTGACACACCCCACCGACCCACTCTCCACTGGTCCGCTCTCCAGTGGTCCACTCTCCACCAGTAGTTCTATCTCCACGAACAACACTCCCAACCCACTCTCCTTCCCCGTCGCCGATACAGCTGGTCCTCATGAATTTTCCGCCCCGTTCGCGCACCAACAGCAGCAACCATGTCCGACCACGTTCTCAGACCCTGGTCTTTCCCTTCCGCCATCCGCGCTAATGCAGGGCGGACACCCAGGCCTCGCCGCCGGCCGCGAGGACTGGGCGTTTCAGGGTGTCGATATGGCGTTCTTCGAAAGTATAATGAGGAATTTTGGGGGCGATATTTGACCTTTTGCCTACGTCTGTGGCGGCTTGGATGCACTAACCCACCTATCAAGAAACAATAAACAATCTAGTATATTAAACAAACTACTATGTAATCAGATATCCGCAATCTCACATTTCGCTTTGGAAATGAACATGTTGGTTTTTTCCCCAACCCCACCAAAATTCATTAGCCTGTACAGTAGCCTGCCGTCTTGCATATAAGGTAACAGCACTAGAATGGCTAATCTACAAGTGACTAATTCTAAGATTGATTCTCCTTTTCCCCATCGGCAGTCTCCGTCTCCTTCTCCTTCTCCACCGCAGGCTCCTCTGTCGCTGGCTTGTCCTTCTTCCCATGATCCGGCAGCCTCTTAAATGGAATAATTAGCGACAGGAGGACCGCAAACGCCGCACACGCTAGGGAAAACGTAAACACATCCTTGATACCGACCATATATGCGTTAATGACATCCTTGAGATCATCCCCGCTGAACACATCCTGGAGTTCGGAAGCACCAGCGCCCAGAACCCGGGCGGGATCAAGGTGAGCTGCACTGGAGAGGACAGTCTGGAGCATCCGGTTGGCGAAGAGGGATTGTGCAATAGCGACGAAGTAGGCGCCGCTGAGGGTTTGGCACACTGGTTGGTTGAGTCCGATGTTAGTGTCCCATACATACATTACATGCATGAATGAGTAGCTCCCTGAGTAGGTACTCGGATGCGCAATACTCAATACTTATAGCGCGTAGGGCAGGGGAGGAAATACTTACTAACCATGATTCCAGTCGCGCTGGAAACGTCTTCAAGCTTCGAGGATCCTTGCACGGCTGTCATGGGGATCTGGTTGCAGATCCCAACGCCAAATCCAAAGAGCACCTCGGCACCAATGTACATGGCTTTAGAAGAGTCGACGTCCAAGATATAAATTAGAGCCATGCCGGCGGTCATGATGAGGGCACCGAGGAGCTCATAGGGTTGTGTGTAGCGGGTCTTTGTGATGACACCGCCGCTGACGACGGCTCCAAGGGCGAAGAAGGCGAGGAATGGGAGTGTGTTGACGCCGCTTGTCACGGCTGATTGGCCATGGATGGATTGGAAGTAGATGGGAAGGTAGAACATGACCTGGTAGAGGGCAGCGTAGGAGCTAGAATGAGCAGAGGATCGGTGGGTTAGTTCATGAGCGTGAGATGGATAGATGTATCGCGAGGACTTACATCAGGCAGAATAGGGCATTGCTCCATGTGGTGCGCAGTTTCAGAATGTGAAAGGGAGTCATGGCGCGGTGGCCTTGGAACCATTCAGTAACCAAGAAGCCAATGCTGAGGACAATCCACATGACCAAGGTCGCGATGACCGAGCCATCATTCCACGCTTTAGTCTGTCCACCCCATTGCAATGCCAATGTCAAGCAGACGAGAGACACAAGGAGTAAACAGAAGCCTGGGAGATCCAGGGAGAGGATGACCTCCTGCCACGTCGCTGGGATCTTCTTGATATGCTTAGGGATGCGCAGGAATAACAGTAACAGCACGATGATAGGCCCGCCAATGGGCAAGTTAATCCAAAAACACCATCTCCAGGTCACTCCGCTCGTGAATGCACCACCAATCACCGGCCCCAGAATGTTCGACAGCATGAAGACTGCCATCCAGGTGCCGATAAGAAGCGGATGGTTCTTCGGCGCGGCGACATAGTTGATGATGATGAGGGTGCCTCCAAGGACACCAGAGGCTCCCCAACCTTGAATGGCACGTCCAATGATGATGGACACACTATTTGGAGCTGCTGCGGCCACAATACTACCAACCAAAAAGATACCAACCGCGCCGAGATAAACCCACTTCACGTTGAGGTATTTAAACAGCTTTCCCCACAATGGCGAGGCCGAGGCCGCGAGGATGAACGTTGCACTTCCATACCAGCCCACATCGTCTAGTCTGTGGAAATCGCTGGTGATGCCGGGGATTGCCGTTGCAATGATACCAATCTCCAGAGACACAAGGATGGTGCTCACGAAGATCGTGAACATGATAAGGAAGAGTCGGACGCCAGTCGCATAGTCGGGAGGGATCTCGTCAGGGTCTTTTTGCTCTTGGGGGCCATCATCACTGGTCGAGCTGAGCTGGCTTCTGTCCAGCTCGGCTTTGTTGTTGTTCTCGAGGTCTGAACCGTCTGCCATCGTTCAATGTTCTTGGATATTCTGCACCACGACAGCCCGTTAAAAGGTTACAGAGATTGCAACTTGTAGTCTTGAGTTCACAAAGAAACATGTTGAATCCATTCTCGATGACAAAAAAATCACGTAAGGAAGCCTATGATTGACACGGTCGAAGGAGAGAACCACTCATTTCGACCGCCGTGTTTTCTATACTCGGTATAGATCTTGGCAATGGAGCTAGCATTCGACCGCCGTATTAGTCATCCGGCGGTCCAAACCCCCTAAAATCGCCAAGATATGCAACATTCGTCCGCCGTTGCGTCACGCCACAGTCCAATTGATTAATGAGAACATGGTAACACGAGCTGATAAGAACCTTAATAATGGAAATTTTTCACCCTCGACCGGCAGGTTCCTGGATGTTTCGACCGTTAGACTGATTAGGTAGCATTCATAGATGCTGACTGCATGAGATCTTCATCCGTAAATAGATGCTATACGGGTAGTCACGTACTCCGAGCCACCGGCGGGGCCACGATAACTTAAATGTCTCAGAAAACACAATTTGGGTGTGCTGATGAAAGTGACTGACCATCCGCTCTTTGTTTGCTAGGTAATATGTGCGGCAGAATTCCCATCCCATCATGGATGGTAAGCTCCTTTCACCATTGCGGCAACCGTGTAAATTTCGGACATCCTCAACATCGTGGGGGCTGTATCGCATTCCGCCGGAGCCTTATAGCGCCATCTTCGTATCACGGACAATAGCTCTCTTGCAATCCCTCCGCGGGCCGCAAATATGGGCCGAAGAACTCGCACAATCAATTCCTTCTTTTTCCTTTTATTGTCGGTAATGCCCGTCCCCCTCCCTCCTTCCAAAATATAGAGCTGTAACGACATCAAAATGCCTTCTGTACATCACACCGCAGTCGACGTCCCAATTGCGGTCGTCGGCATGTCATGTCGTTTTCCCGGCGACGCCAGCTCCTCTTCCAAATTCTGGGACATGTTGAAGAACGGCAAAGGTGAGCAGAGAGCCTCCTCAATTGTGAAAATCCGCTGCATTGGCAGTGGACTAACAGGTGTTCTTAAACAGATGCTTACTCGCCCACATCAACTCGATGGAACTCCGACGCTTTCTACCACCCAAGCAACGGCCACTTGAACTCACTACCCACGAGAGGGGGTCACTTTCTGAAAGAAGATCCGTATGTCTTTGATGCCGCCTTCTTCAATATCACCGCAGCAGAAGCCATCGCTCTCGATCCCAAACAGCGGATCGCCATGGAAGTGACATATGAAGCGTTTGAAAACGCGGGTATGTCTCTTCCACAGATTTCTGACTCTCAGACTGCCTGTTATATTGGTTCAGGTCCCAGCGACTATCGAGGTGCAGTGGAGCGGGACTTCTTGCACAACCCTAAATACCATCTCCTCGGGACCGGCGACGAGATGATTTCCAATCGCATCTCTCATTTTTTAAATATCCATGGCCCCAGTGCCACGGTTCAGACCGCCTGCTCGTCCAGTCTGATGGCGACCCATCTGGCTTGCCAGAGCTTGAAGTCAGGAGAGTCGGAGATGGCCATTACGGGTGGCGTGAGTCTGATGCTCACGCCAGACTTCACGACGCATCTCAATAATTTGACTTTCCTCAACCCCGAGGGCTTGTCAAAAGCCTTTGATGAGAGTGCAGGTGGATACGGTCGTGGTGAAGGTTGCGGGATCATCATCTTGAAACGACTGGCGGATGCAATTAAAGATGGAGATGAGATTCGGGCCGTCATCCGTGGTACTGGTGCTAATTCAGATGGCTTTACACAGGGTGGTAGGTTGTATTCAGTCGTAATATGAACTGAGAGTTGCTAATGCTCTCATGTGCAGTGACAATGCCGTCTTTTGAAGCGCAAGCTGAACTCATCAAGCACGTTTACTCGTCCAACGGGTTGGACTACTCGACACAATATGTCGAGGCACATGCAAGTCAAAGAGCTATCAGACTTAGGGGCCTTATCGTTACTAACCGCAGTATTAGGGTACCGGGACCAAAGCCGGAGATCCAATTGAGACAAGAGCCATTTATAGCACCATCGGGAAAGGCTCGCCCAAATCGCGCAAACTGTTTGTAGGAAGTGTTAAACCCAATGTGAGTCTTGTGGGTTCTCAGGGACATCTTGTCTGGAGGATGCTAACTTCAAAATCAGATCGGCCATCTGGAATCCGCGGCTGGTGTGTCGGGGATTATCAAAGGCATTCTATCGATGGAAAACAATCTGATCCCCCCAAATCTTCACTTTACTAAAGCCAATCCTGCGATTCCATTTGACGAATGGAACATGGCGGTACCCACCAAGTTGACGCCTTGGCCTGTTACGCCGACCAAGCGTATGAGCGTCAGCGGCTTCGGCATGGGTGGCACAAACGGCCATGTCGTCCTGGAATCGTTCGACCCGACCACTTTCAGCGCTGGATCCATAACGAGCAATCAATTTTCCAAATTTGGCAAGACCCGTACCAAGAAACGACTCTTCGTCTTCAGCAGTCACGACCAGGCTGGCTTCAAGCGAAATGCAGATGCCCTGGTCGAGCATCTAGATATCGTTGGACCCGGAGCGTCGAGCTCGGATTTCATGGCCAATTTGGCCCACACACTCTCCGGGGCCAAATCCAGTCTGTCGTGGCGGGCAACATGTATTGCGGAGAACAAGACCGAGCTCCATGACTATCTAACCACCAAGCCAGGAGACGGCGCCTCTCGGGATGCGAACAGTTCCATTCGAGTCCCACGAATTGGCTTCGTGTTTACCGGACAAGGTGCACAATGGGCGCGTATGGGCGTGGAGATGCTCGACCGCCCAGTCTTTAGGGACTCAGTTGCGCAATCGACACATTTCCTTCAAGCCATGGGATGTGTCTGGGATCCGGTCATAGAATTGAAGAAAACCCAAGCAGACTCCCGCCTGAGCCAGCCAGAGATAAGTCAGCCTATCTGCTCCGTGCTCCAGATCGCGCTCGTTGATGAGCTGCGGTCGTGGGGCGTGACTCCTTCCAAAGTTGTTGGGCATTCCAGCGGTGAGATTGCAGCCGCATACAGCATCGGAGCATTGAGCCACCGCGACGCGATTGCAGCCGCCTATTTTAGAGGTGTGGCCACTATCAGGCTTCGAGATGCGCCAGATATCAATGGCGGCATGATGGCAGTTGGCTGTTCGCGAGACGAAGCAGAGAAATTGATCGAACAGTCGAAGCTTGATGGCACCGCTACCGTCGCCTGTGTGAACTCACCGTCCAGTGTGACGCTCTCGGGCGATGTCGACACACTTGAGCAACTCCGAGCCATCTGTGATGAGCGTAAGATGTTTGCTCGAAGACTGAAAGTCGAGATGGCGTACCACAGTAGGCATATGAATCGCGTCTTTGGCACTTACGCTGAGTTCATTGCTGATCTTCAGCCTATACCCCGAGAGTACAATGAGAACGAGGACTATGAAGTCACTAAAACTATGGTATCTAGTGTAACCGGCCAAGAGGTCGCCCCGGAGCTTCTGGGGCCATACTATTGGGTCCGCAACTTGGTCTCGCCGGTTCTCTTCTCCGATGCGGTCAAGGAGATGGTCGCTGCAGACGAAGCTGAAGGGGGTGGTGACACTGTCGACCTACTCATCGAAATTGGCCCACATGGCGCCCTGGGCGGACCTGTGGAGCAAATTCTCGGTCACCACGGCGTCAAACACATCGCCTACAAGTCGATGCTGACACGCGGACGCAATGCTCTTGAAACAAGTCTCGAGCTCGCGTCCGAGCTCTTCCTAAAAGGAGTTCCAATTGACATCTCCCAAGTCAACGGCGATATTAACACCCGTCGACTGACGGATCTTCCCCCATACCAATGGAACCATTCCAAGGTCTTCCGCCACGAGACCCGTATTCAACGGGAGCTCGTGATGCGCCAATTTCCCTCCAAGAGCATCATCGGTGCCCAGGTCCCGATGATGGATGAGAGTCAACATGTCTGGCGCAACTTCCTCCGCTTGTCCGACGAGCCCTGGATTCGCGGCCATAAGGTCGGCAGTACTGTGTTATTCCCAGCCGCTGGCCTCATAGGCATGGCCATTGAAGGTGCGCGTCAGTTGATGGAACCAAGCAAGACAGCACGCAACCTTCGTCTTCGTGAGATCTCGTTCTTTGCTGCTATGGCACTTTCTGAGGATGTGCCGACTGAGGTTATCATGCATATGCGGCCGCACTTACTTGCAACCTCAGGTTCTACCCCAGCTTCCTGGTGGGAATTTACTATATCCTCATGCGCTGGTATCGATAACCTGCGCGATAATTGCCGAGGATTGATTGCCATTGACTACACCGAAACGACCAGCGAGCAGATGGCGAGCGAAGATACCAGCTTGGAGTCGTCAAGAATTGCCCAGTACCACCACGTCCACGAGGGGCCTTCGCACACTTACTCCAAAGAGGACTTCTACGGCCAATTCGAAAAGATCGCCTGGAACTATGGTGAGGCATTTCGGGGAGTCGAGAATGTCCATCTTGGCGACGGCCAGGCCACCTACGATGTGAAACTCGTCGATATCGGCGAGACCGCTAGCAAAGGACAACTCAGTCGTCCATTTTTGATACACGCGGGTGCCTTTGACTCGATACTCCAGGGCTGTCTGGGGAGCACGTACAGGAACGGGAGGTTCGAGATGGATAAGCCGGTCTTGCCGACATTTATAGGCCAGATGGATATTTCGCTCGATATTCCGGGAGATGTTGGATATGTCCTGCCTGTGGTATGCGAGTCGAAGAGACATGGTTTCAAAGAGTTGTCGTCGAATATCTACACCTTTGATAGTACAGTGTCTAAGGTCAACCTATCCGTTCTTGACTACCGAGTCTCGGAGCTGGAGAATGATGCGGGCGAGCAGGACGGTCAGCAGCTTGAGGTCGACCCGGCCGAGATCACATCGGAGGTGCACTGGAATTATGCTCTCGAGCTTCTGGAGCCAGAAGAAATACAAAGGGTGGTATCCGCTGTTGCGGCAGAAGATCGGATTGTCGAGGTAGCCCTTTTCCATCTCATTAATCCATCCTAACAGGCATCCTGCGGGCGTTATTAACAAGTAATACAGTTCATCCGTCTATACCTCCACGACAATCCAGCAGCCACCGTGATCGAGCTTGCACCCGATCACGAAGCACTTAACCATGCGATAATGAGATTGATGCCTCCCGGAACCATTCCTTTTAGCCATATCAAGTATGCTATAGCAGGCACTGATAGCGAGTCTGAGGACCAAGGTGCCACCAGGAACTTTATTGGGACGCCGTTCAACCTGGGCGATTTGGATGCCCCGTTGCCCGCAGATATTGCGGCGGCTGATTTGCTAGTCGTTCCACAATCCGTCAGCAAGCATAATGATTTCGGCACATTACTGACTCGTTTGACAAGACTTGGCAAGTCCAATGCAAGCCTAGTTCTCGCTGCGGACATCAGTTTGGAGGTCTCTGCGTCTGTTCTGGAGGCTAAGGACTTCCGACGTGTCTTTGAAGTTGAGAAGTCAGTGACTCTGTACAAAAGGCGGCAACCAGAGCATGCTAACAGCGACACCAATGGCCATACAAACGGGACATCTACCAAATCCGACTTATTCATAATCGAACCACTAGCTAAAAATGGCCGCGTTAAAGATTTCAGCAGCGCTCTACAAATCACTCTCCGCGACCATGGTTACCCAGTGGTCGTGACCAACTGGGCCGAGATCAGTGCCCGTGCAGCTACCGACCTCGAGGCCAATACATTCATCTCCTTGTTGGAGCTTGAACAGCCTCTGCTGGATGCTCTCTCGGAGCCAGATTTCCACAATGTCCGGAAGCTGCTGCTGAACAGCGACCGCCTGCTCTGGGTCACAGCTGGCGACAATCCGTCCATGGGTGTGGTCGATGGCATTCGGAGGACGATGAGGAGTGAGGTGGCGGGTCTCAAGTTCCAAGTCTTGCATTTGAGTAGCCTGGACACGGCTTTACACTGTGGTCCAGCCCTTGCAGGTCGTATTATGACGACGGATACCAAGGATGATGAGTTCCAGGAACGAGATGGTATGCTGCAGGTTGCTCGGATCTTCAACAGTCCCGAGAGAAATGAGGGTGTGCGCCGTTGTCTAGAGGACTCCGTTCGTGTCAAGCGGCTGAGGGAACAAGTGAGACCCCCTAAGGCTCACGATTATGAAGCCAGGACTCATGGACACTTTGACGTTCATCGAGGATGACCGCATGAAAGATACACTTGAAGAGACAGAGATTGAGGTCGATATCAAAGCAACAGGTGTCAACTTCAAAGACATCATGGCGGCAATGGGCCTAGTCGAAGTCTCCCTCATCGGCCAAGAAGCTAGCGGCGTCGTCACGGCCACTGGTAGTGCAGCAGCTTCACGCTTTAGACCCGGCGACCGGGTGACGCTTCTCTGGGAGGGCATGCATGCCACTAAGCTCCGCATCGACCACCGTCTTGCCGTGCACATCCCTGACTCCATGTCTTTCGAAGAAGCGGCCGCCCTACCCATGGTCCACACCACTGCCTACCACGCACTCGTCAACGTCGCCAAACTGCGCCCTGGACAATCTGTCTTGATCCACGCTGCTGCCGGTGGTGTCGGCCAAGCTGCACTGCAACTTGCTGCTCACTTAGGCCTAGTGGTATATGTGACCGTTGGTAGTGAGGATAAGCGCCGTCTCCTGATTGAGAAATATAACGTGCCAGAAGCGCATATATTCCACTCTCGTGACACTAGTTTCGCCAAAGCTATCAAGCGCATCACGGATGGCCGCGGCGTCGACTGCGTGCTCAACTCGCTGTCGGGCGAATTGCTCCGTGTCTCATGGACATGCCTTGCGCCCTTTGGCACATTTGTCGAGATCGGGCTGCGTGATATCACAAACAACATGCGTCTGGACATGCGTCCGTTCAGCCGTAGCACGACCTTTGCATTCATCAACATAGCCAATTTCTTCGACGCGGATGGTCTTGATGCACTGGGCCAAATACTATCGGACGCATTTGCTCTTGTGCATGAGGGTGTTCTGAGCGCGGCGTATCCGCTGACAGTGTACCCTGTTGCGGGGCTTGAGACGGCTTTCCGTACCATGCAACAGGGTAAGCATCGTGGGAAACTAGTCCTCTCGTTTGGAGATGATGCTCAAGCACCCGTGCTCTGCACAGCTAAAAACAGCCTGAGCCTCAATCCCAACAGCACCTATCTCTTTGTCGGCGGTCTCGGCGGCCTTGGACGCAGTCTGGCCCGTGAATTTGTTGCCAGTGGAGCACGACACATCGCATTTATATCCCGCTCTGGCGATTCCAGTGCAGACGCCAAAGCCACAGTCCAGGACCTCACCACTTTCGGCGCCGTTGTCAAAGCTTACCGTGCAGACGTAGCAGATGAACCTGCCTTCCTCTCCGCCATGCAACAATGTGCCACCGACCTCCCACCTATCGCGGGCGTGGTCCAGATGGCCATGATGCTGCGTGACACTCTCTTCGAGAAAATATCTTACACGGATTGGACGCAACCCATGCGGCCCAAGATCCAAGGCACACTAAATCTGCACAACTACTTCTCGCCCACACATCCGCTGGATTTCTTCATCATCTGCTCGTCCATCTCCGGCATCTTCGGCTATCCAGGCCAGACTCAATATGCCGCCGCCAACACATTCCAAGACGCACTTGCCCGCCACCGTCGCAGCAAAGGCCTCAAGGGCGTGGCTGTCGATCTCGGTATCATGCGCGACGTTGGAATTCTAGCCGAGCAAGGCACAACCGGGAAACTCGCTGACTGGGAAGCCATTCTCGGAATCCGCGAAAAGCCCTTCCACGCGCTGATGAAAAGCCTGATCAACAGCGAGTGGAAAGGAGACTCGTATCCTGCGCAGGTGTGTACCGGCCTCGGGACGGCAGATGTCATGGCCCGATTCGGATTGGAGCGGCCGGAACATTTCAGTGATCCGCGGTTTGGCCCACTGAATGTGCTGAGTATTACATCTTCGTCCTCGTCCACAGACCAAGATGCCTCATCCGCTGCATCGTCACCCTCCACACGTCTCGCTGCCGCATCCACCCTCGATGAAGCCGTTTCAATCATTACGGATGCACTTGTACACAAGACGGCAGAGATCCTGCAGATGCCCTTGTCCGAGGTAGATCCGGGGAGGCCGATGTATCGGTATGGAGTGGATTCGCTGGTGGCACTGGAGGTCCGCAATTGGATTACAAGGGAGCTGCAGGCGAATATGGCGCTGTTGGAGATTCTTGCAGCGGAGCCAATGAATGTGTTTGCGGGGAGGATCGCGGAGAAGAGTAAGTTAGTTACAGGTAGAAAGTAGAAAGAGGGAACGTTATGGATAGAAAAATAATAGAGGTAGATCTGCACATGGCCCCAGTTCAATTATAAACTAAACAATAGTATACTATACCATCCCCTTCTCTGCTGTACTTAGTACATACGACCATAGGGTGTGGAGAACAGGGCTTCCCGTCCGCTCAGCCGTACTTAAGCCACACGCCGGCAGGTTAGTAGTGTGGTGGGTGACCACATGCGAATCCCTGCTGTTGTATGTTTTTGTTCACCCAATTTTTTTCTTGATTCGTTGGGTTAGTGCCCTTGCCGCCCTGCCACCATTAGCCATATCTCTGTATATATGGAAGAAATCATCGTACTCGTCGTATCTGTTTACGGACGTCTTCACTGACACGGCGACGAGCGAACAGTTTGAAATATTGGCAAAGGCGGCGCCAGTACTTATCGTAAGATTGTAGTCTCTTCTCTTGTGACGTCCTGGACATCCAGTCGAAAAAGTTCATGTAGATCGCTTGATCCTCCTGGAGAAGGTGGTCTATATAATCCGCCTCCGACTGAATAGAAAATCTATTCTCGTGAGTTAACCCTACCCACGGTGCCTGATTCTAGCCCCACTCACTTTCGCCAGTAGCGCTCGACAACGGCAATACCTAGTAAAGTCCTCGGTTTGAAGTTTGGAGGTAGCCATCCAGAACGACGGAAATGTTCCAGTCTGGCTCGAGTGTCCTCGAAAAGGATGGGGTCGGTCCAGTGTTGGTGCTCATCTTCCTGAGCCGACCGAACGAGCAGAGGGGCCATCGAGAGAAGTAAAGATCAATGGCCGAGGTGAGGATCCGGAGTCACGGACAACAAGGTTGCCGAAGTCGATTTGAGGAGTGGGCGTTGGTGATGAAGAGAGACTTATCAGGGAGTAAAAGCGGCGAGGGGATGAGCACTAGAATGGAAAGGGAAAGCCAAGAATCGCCAGACATTTTCCGGTATGTATGCCAAGAAGCAGGCTTACTATGAGGTACCCGATTAAGATGATTGATTACTTTCCAACAGTTCATAGCATGGGCGCCAATCCAGGCAGCCGTACTGAGAACTGCCATCTCTGTCCCTACAAGGTAAAATTATTTCCCAAATTCATATTTGTTCATATTCAACACGAGTCCGTAGACTAACTGAATCGGTCTATATACAAGAAGCAGTGTATGTGCAACTAGATCCCGAGTCCCGCCATAATCTGCGCGGGGCGCAAGATGTTGTGCATTTAATCACACAAGAGACAAGGAGGAACAGGATCCGAAGGCCAGGCGCGAAACCCGAGGGTGAAACAGATGTACCCATGCACTTAACTCATACCTCAGTGCATGGATAAGGTAAATCTGTATCCTGCATAGGGTGGTGCGTTGCGGTGGGATATCACATGTGCATGTGCATGTCACGTAAGTCGTAAGTTCATCAAAGAATAAAATGATAGAAGTATGTATGGAAAATGTAATAGAGGTATGTGAGTTGGGGTATCAATATTGAGAAGAATAGGGCTTCATCCTGGTTTTTCAGATAGCTTTGCAGGTTGGCGCTGGTAGTGACACCAGGGGTCGTTGAAATCGATTGATGTATGATCGCCATGATTTATGATGCGTGTCCCCGAGTCCCATGAATTCGGAATGTCTGCGCTGCCATTCTGGTCGCGAGACGGACAATGTTCGAAATACGCAACAGAAACATCGTCGTCCATCCAGGTTTGTCCTTGGGTGCGGGAGGTACTATGTGTTCGAGCGGTTGGGGCGTGGGTGAGGTCTGAGGTGACACGAGTGGCATCGACGAAGTCGGGAAGTTCGCGGGGAACGGAGAATGATTCGGGTTTCCAGACGTGGTTGTGGACGAGGTGGATTAGTTTACCGAGGACGGCGAACTCAAGCTTCAGTTTAATGCTGTAGACGGCGCCTTTCAACATTGTTTCCATAATATAGTAGTCGCGGTATTCGGCGACAAGAAGTCCAATATCCATAATAATGATAATTAAGTTAATGATGATGAGTTGGTACTGAATCTTGCGCTTAGAGCGGTCCATGTCGAGGTGTATCATGCGGACTGTTTCCCAAATATAAAGGCCCGAGAGTATGAACTCCTGTAGACAGAAGCCAGTCATCTGGATCTTCTCCATGATGTTGTACCCATTTATATAAGGCTGGACATGGCGTTCCCCCGCGAGGTTACTGCCCCAGGTCAGGACCGAGGTAGGAAGGTGAAGACAGACGGCGTTGACGATGATCATGGTCAATATGCGCCGAAGGATGCGCTGGTTGTCGAGGACCAAGTGCAGGCGCGAGTACAGAACAATAGACTGGCCAGTCACCATTGTCCACCAGCCGATGGTGATAAAAGTTACTGACAGCCATGTCGCGGAGGTGAGTTCGAAGAATTTCAAGAGGAAACCAAGGGAGTATGGGATCAAGCCGACAGCGCAAGAGGCGAACAAGCTCCAGAAGTAGAGACCACGGTACTGGGAAAAGGTGACAAATATGAGAATGATCAGTTCGAAAGCGTTGTACCAAGTGACACCAGCCAGAGTAGCGATGGTGATTTGCATCCCCAAAGAAGTGCCTTTGATGCCGCCGGTGATGCCCTCGCCGGCGGCGGTGATGTTTGCCATAATGCTTGTCAAGGAGAATAGGACATGGCTATGTGGGGAAACGAAGAAGCAGCATTGGCAGCAACATTAGGTGAGAGAAGAGTATTAATATGGGGCTTTTTGGGGGGGGGAGGGGGGCTTGGGGCTTAGGTCTTGGCCTCGACTGGGTTGGGACTGGGCCGCGGGTGGGGAGCAAGTCGATCATGAAGTGGCTTACTCCGGGGGGGGCAAGCAGTCAAAGCGGGTCAATAAGACAATGAGATCGGAAAACGCCCGACAAAGACGGGGTGGACGGGGAAATGTGGGATGTTAGCGAAAGGATTCGATCCTTGCCCTTGGGGCAGTGACTATTGGTTGCTATTCCTGGGCCGTGCGATGGATGGTTCAACTGGTAATTGCGGCAAGGTGCAGATGTGATCCATGCTCGGGGGAATTGATAGATTGAAGGTCGATTCCACCGGTATGTAGGGCATATATTATCAAGGAGGTCAGGAGTGGACTCGGAAGTAAATGTCAAAAGGTTCCCCGGTTGAAGTTTTGGGATGTCCCAGAGTGGGTCAGGGGCAACTTGGAAGGAACTGGGTGCGACCCGGGGAAGGAGCAACCCAGCTAGTCCAGTGACTTCAAGTGACTCCATCCATACTTTATCATTTACTATCATATCCTAGGATACCATCACTAGTACCGAGTATCATACACAACACTCAACTATCTGGAGTACCCCTCTGGTATCCCTACATCCACACCTCCTCTCAGGCAGCCTGGACGCCTACCGTCCGTGTTGTTCATCTGCACACCCCGGGATCCCCAGTCCATCCAATCCATCCAGTCCATTCTCGTCCAGTCCCACTCTGAGTCACACTCAATGCGGTCAAGCGTGGGGACAACTGGTGGACGCCGGCAACTTTCGGTGTGCAGGTGCAGCAGGCGATCAGAGGCTCTGCAGACTCATCACACAGGAAAAGACAAACAACACTACCTATAACAATATGTGTACCACCATAGGTCACAGTGCCAGAGGTACTGAGTACCACGTACTCCGTACTCCGTACATACATACAGTGGATGCTGAATGGACTTCAGAGTGGATAGATACTACTAGTATGTCATAGCCTCCACTCAAGCTACCGCTAGCTGCCAGTGCCAGTGCAGCCATCTGCCAACTTCCAGCTCTCTTTGTGGGGAGGGCACGGCCACCAGCACGGTCGCTTTCAACATGGCAATTGATCCTGTGCTCCGGTCTGAAACACATGCCCTCGCGCAATCTAGCCTAGGCTACCAAAAGACTCGATGTGTCCCTTCCCATGCCAGTGGCCAACGATCCTCGGTCATTTAATCAAGGACCTCTCCAATCAGATCCGCTTGTACAGAGTACACATACAGTGCCCTGAGGCAGGATTACTATTGATACCCCCAGCCCTGAGGTACGCCACTATGTAGAGTCCCTCGAGTACAGATCACCATCCATAACAGGTGGTCTACCATGAAATACTCCCATATCCTGACAAAATCAAATCAAATGACATCCATAAATAATATCCAGCGCCTCGCTAAATCCTCGATAAAAAAAAACAGTTCAAAAACTAGAACAAAGAACAAGTTGAACCCCGGGAAACCCCGACTTGACCCTAACGCCCCATACCCCGTCTTGGCACTCGCCCTCCTACTATGTAGTAACCATTCAGGCCCGCAGAATTACCGGAAATCGTATTCTGGCCCCCAACAACGACATCATTCCATCCAAAGACTCAGATATCCCGGTGGCCTTACATGGAACCTGCATCATCATGAAGTCAGGAAAAGATCCGTTCATACCTCCACGAGGCTCCTGCCTTACGCCCGCCCATTAGCCCGCCCGCCCAGCCCACGTCCAGACCTACAGAGGCCGGAGTATTTTGATCAGGTACCTCGTATAGACATTTAGCCCGTAAACTGTAGGCGGCATAATAGTCGCGCAAAGCAGAGACGGGATGGAAGAGAACGCCGTCGGCTCAGGCTGGGCAAAGATCGGGCAATTCAAGAAACGTCCAGCCTCGCCGTGCCTTTCCTTCCCTGCTCTTTTTATCCCTCCACTTCCTGTTCGAACTGGCGGTGCGGTGCGGTGCGGTGGAGTGCAGTGCAGTGCAGTGCCCGCACAACCCAAATCCAAATCCAAATCTTAATTTGCATTCGCATTCGAACTCGAACTCAACCCTCCACCCCCGGTTCCCCCCGTCACCGCAACAACACGATCAACCTCACCCGCACACTCAGGCATAGCACTCCGCATCTCACGGGCCAACACATCCCGGAACCCGGCGAAAGCCTCCCTTTTCCCCTTCAGATCCTGATTGCCGCGCTGCACCAACTCGACGAATTCACGCGTGTAGATGTCTGGGTTGCGCGCGCTGTCCACGTAGTCGATTATCTCGGGCGGTATTTGGACGCTTGCGAGGCGCGGGTTCGCAGGGTCATCATTTTGCTGCTGCTGTTCTGATTCTGCGCTGCCATTGCCAGGCGGGAGTTGAGTGTGTGTTGAGAGTGTGTTTAAGGTGAGGGTGAGGTTTTTGCTGTGATGATCGTGCCTGTTAGCCTCGTACTTCGTTTTTCCCATCTCTCTTACTCTGCGACTTCGCGCAAAGAAGAGTTCTATATTGTAGATTGGATTTTTGGCAGATCCTTGAGCTTTGCTCTTTCACGTACATTTTTCGGACCAGCTCTTGTTGCGTCTCTGGGCCTAGGTAGCCATGCACCGCGGATTGGATTTCGAAGAGATGCTGGATTACATCTTTCAGATCATCTGCGGATGGTTAGCTTTTGCTTGCATAGCTGCGCTTAGTTTATACAGACCATCGACCGTTTTTAGTAAGACTGGGGCCATGATTGCTGCGTGTCTTATCGCTGAATGGGTGTGGTGATGTTCTTGGGCGTGGGGTTGGAGAAGGCGGTGGGAAGCTGCAGGCGGAGCAGACGGATGCTTGTAGGGGACTGCCAAGTTGGAAGGAATCGGGGCCACGCGCTCCAAGGTTGCTACACTTGGTGGGGAGTACCCTAGCAGTGTACGTAGTACATAGTATGTAGGGTGTAACTACGGCTGTGCTATCTATACTATCTACTCCATGCTTGTGCGCGCGGCAAGGGATAAGTCTAGATGTTTCGTCTCAACGAGGGTTATACCTCATGTCATATTCACTGTCAC